AAGATAGGTTGCTCCTTCAAGTCCAGTGAGTAATTCATTAAAAATAAGCAAGAGCTTTCAAATGCTGAAATCATTTACTCCTTGCAGTTACTCAACTGTCAAAATCTAAATATTTATTTGTCAAGTAAAAGACAAAATTAAAAATTCTAAAGACATACAGAAGCAACAATCTCTAAATGAAAACGAAAATGCCACAATAGTGATCACATGGTAAAAATATCAAGGCCTTTGAAGCCAAACCAATTGGCTGATTCATTGTTAACATGTTAAAAAAAAAGTATATTATAATAAGATAATTGTGAAGTAGAGAAGATCTTAGCACTGCATTTCAAAACCTTTCCTTCCCAGAATATGAAAGATATAAATCTTTCCATTTTCTGTATTGAGTTGCTTTTACAATTTTTCCTTAATAGAACTTTGTCCACAAGTCTCTCTTGGTAATGAATATGGAGTGGGAGAAACTGAAATGCCAATTAAGTTACTGCGGACTTAACGGTACTTTTCACTCATTATTCTTCCAAATTGGCCTCCTTTGATCCATGTGCTAATGTTTCCATTTAAAAGATGCATTATTTTGATATTGACGTCTCCTTGTACACTTTTAAAATCATTTACTACACTTCTTCCAAAGGAAACGTATCAGTATGATGGCTGCGGTCTTTTTCATATTGCAAGATTCAAATTAGACTGTCGAAAGTTGAGGAAATCTGCGGTCTTCTCCTCTATCCATCTTCTATCCGCCTCCCCCTCTCTCCCTATTTATTTCAGAACCCCCTTCCCCTCCCCCATTTCTGATGAAGGGTCTAGGCCCTAAACGTCAGCCTTCCTGCTCCTATGATGCTGCTTGGCCTGCTGTGTTCATCCAGCTCTACACCTTGTTATCTCAGATTTTCCAGCATCTGCAGTTCCTACTATCTCTGAAATCTGCGGTTGTTTCACATTTTAAGTTAACTTCTGAATCAATATTGAAAATTATTAAAGATTATACTTGACATCTTTATTTTATCAGCGATAATTTTCCAATTAGCTGGCTGATAAAGTGGTTTATATCAAGTAGCATTTTATAAAATGTAAACAAAAATGCAAATGAAGCTGCATTGTAAACATAGAACATAATATTTAAGATTTTCAAATTCCTACAAATTAATTTACAGTAATGCTTAGTCATTAACTAAAATGTTGTCTTGATCATTTATGCAATTTGATGTACATGTGCCCACCTAGTACATGTACCACTGACCCTGTCAAGGTTCACAGGTCAGGAATGTCATGTGATTTAAATGCTTTCACTAGTATAGGGCCATCTGCGTTTTCCTCCCTAAAGGCCAGCAAGTGTGATATGAGAGCTCAAACTGATCCTCCAATTCATTTTAGTACTCTCTCATTGCCTGGAAATATGCTGGGAGTTTCTAGTGTTGTAATTGTGACCCTAAGCTAGGCCACACTTCAGGTTTGCAATGTAAAGTGATGGCAACAGCATGGGTTCAATTCCTGCACTGGCTGAGGTTACCATGAAGGAGGTTACCTTCTTAACCTCTCCTCTTGCCTGAAACGTGGTGACCCTCAGGTTAAACCAACACCAGTTGTCTCTCTAAATAGTGAGCAGCCATATAGTCTGGTGGGACTATGGCATCATTAGCTTTTTACCTTACAGAGAGGCTATTATTTAACCAACATCCATCATATTTCAAACTCTAATTGTTAACTGTCAAATTGGTTAATGTCACAATTTCCTGGAATCCAGTGTGTACACAGCAATAAAGGTATAACACATCAAACAGAGAGTACAACATGAGGTCTGGGTCAGCTACTGTAATGATACAGTGTCCTTTCATCTGTGGGCCACTAGTCCAAAATCAGCATGAACTGACGGAACACAAATGCTCACTCTGCCACCTGCATGGCTTCTACAATTTCAAAATCGTCTCCTACAGATAGTGAGGTTCTACTGTCAAAAGTTGCTCACATATTGCAGTAGCACAATCCAGATAGATGGCTGTTGTGGGAAATACAAAAGTATTACAGCAGTATAAATTATTGCTGCTTTTCAGAAGATTTAGATTAGCATTGAATGAGTGCTCTGCAATTTGTCCATGTCATACCTGGCCTTGAAATAACTTTCAGAGGCTATAAAAACACTAAGGACAGAAGTGCCCATTATTTTTCAGAAGGTGCGGCTGAATGAGGAACACACCATCCCCATCAGTGAGAAACTTAACCTACTGCCTGCCGAGCAACTCATTAAATGCTGGCAGGTGAGCAAATGAACAACTATCTCACCGTATCACAGGCCTCAATACTGGTGAATCAGGTTGCTAGGAGCTACTGGCCAATTGGAGGCAGTAGCTTCATGGGTCCTAAAATCTGTTGGTTGAGGCCTACTCCTTGCTGGGTTCAGTGGAAGGGTAAGTTTTTCTTCACCCTCTTATTGTAGGGTTGGCTATGTGAGAAAACTGGGCAATGGGTTCAGGCAGAGGGGGTAAAGGGGTACTAGAGGCAACAGTAATTGGAGGTCTGAACCAAGCAGGCAGCTAGATCACCATGGTTTCCCACTAAGGAAATTAGCCACCTTAATTGCCTACTGTAGGACCAGGTGATTGGGGAGGTGGAGGCTTGAGGCTCTTACGTGGCCTTAATTGACCACTTAAGGACTTTAATTGCTGGTGAGTTGAGAAAGTCACCCATGGATGTTCTCACTCAGCATTTGAATGCTGAGGTAGGAAGAAGGAGGTGAGTTTCAAGGACCAGCTTGCTCAGTTATGTCCCCTTCTTACCTCTTGCTACCTACAGATAGAGGAATATTGCACCCATAATACAGATATTTCTCACAATGATATGCACAAATTTTCACCAAAACATTTAGGTTAAAAATAATTTTTTTAGCTCAAGCGCTAAATTAGCATATCGGAAATAAAATTCGATCAGAACAAATAAAAGTACGAACATTCTCTCAGGACTTGCTCAAATCACAGCACAGCTTTTTTTTGTTTATAAGCTTACCATATTTTAAAGTTAACAAAATGCATATGTCTTATGGATGCTAATCATAAGATATGATATTTTATTGATGGCACAACAATATAATAACAGGCAACTCAAAATTGAGCAAACAGACGCTGTAATGTAGATAATTCCATCCAGGCAAAAAGTTTGTTCCAAATTTTCTTGCAGCATATATTATAGCTATCAGCAAAGCATTCACCATCACAAAGCTATACAAAAACAAAACAGATGGCCTCAGTGGGCAGATCCCTGTGATTAGCCAAAAGAACTTAACATAACAACCAATACAACAAGGTGCAGGGCTGGATGAA